AAGGGACTGAGGGAGGAAACAGAACGCAGATGCCCGAAACAGAGCCAACTGCGCCCAGTGTCTAATGGAAATTAAAGGCCACATCATGAACAGTGACTTTTTTTGAATTTTCAGTAAACTGGCGATGAAAAGATAGGAGGTTGGAGCCTCCCCTCACACCATGCTTCCGTCTGCGCTCAAGAATGGGCCTGCTTGTGTACGCACACACAATCTTGCACACACACAATCTTACACACACACACACACTATCTTACACACACACATCTTACACACACACTATCTTACAATCTTGCACACACACTATCTTATACATACGCTATCTTACACACACTATCTTACACACACACTATCTTACAATCTTACACACATACTATCTTGCACACACACTATCTTGCACACGCACACACACGCACACACACACCCCTGATTAATTGATGTGTAGGTAGAAAGCGAAACCACANACACACACGCACACACACACACACCCCTGATTAATTGATGTGTAGGTAGAAAGCGAAACCACATACAGGAAGATGTAGCGGAATATTCCTCTGACTTCTAAGCCTAAAAGCAGTGAAAAGTCGTGGAGAAATTTACTGATAGATTTGACTACCTAAAGACTGAGCTCATTTTATCAGAAGGCAAACGAAACAAAATGAGAAGACAAAGACTAACCAGGAAACATGAAGCAATGTCAGCTTGCTGAGATATAGATCGAGGGCTCACACGACACTCCAAAGACTAAGAAATTCATATAAGAAAAAGCGAAAATAATAAATACATGAAAAATGATCCCCTCACTAATGCAGATTGTATTGGGGTGCCATACTGGCAGAATTTGTTTTTGAGTCATGACACCCAGTGTTGGCAAGGGTGCAGAGACACACTTGCCCAGAGGGGAAGGCGAATGAGTAGGATGTTTTTGGAGAGCAGTTTGGCAAAACTCTCTACATCTTAAAAATGTACATTTGTTCTAGCTACCCACTTATAATAATTTATCCTAAATAACAATCCTAAATGCAAGGGTGGATTTAAAACATGTTCAGCAAGACATTTGCACCGGCAAAGACGGAAGCGGTAAATATCAGGGGAGTGCTTAAATAAATTAATCCACTTGTTGGGTAAAGGCAGACCGTTAAGGGATGTTTGCTATGGTTTTTAATGACAACAATAAGTTCTGTGGCTGTAAGACAGACAACAAGCCCGCAGTCCTGTAGTAGACTCTTCCCACCCACAGCAATGTTTTATGCAGTGGCACAGATTGGCGTCCAATCCCAGTGACCTCACCTATTTGCTGGGACCTCTGGGAAGTTGCTGAGTCATTTTGAGACTCAGTTCTGCTCACAGATTTGTGTTAAGGATCCAATGAGATCAGACACACACAATAGCCCTGTGTATTCCGCACACTTGAGGAATGTCACCTGCCTCCTCCTTTTGTTAATTATGCTGAATGTGGTGGGGATTCCGGAGCCCATGGAGCGAAGGGGACAGAATCGAAAATCACCTACAGACTGATTATAAGTTTAAAATAGGTATTTCTCCAGTAAGATTTAGAAGAAGGCAGTTGGTTTTCATTTTCATTTTTTAAAGACCAGCAGGAAAGAATTGCCTGTCTGTATTTCCATGAGAGTGTGGCTTCTGTCTTGGGTGTGACAATCGTGTTCATGGGTGAGAAATCTCACGCCAACCTTGTTCCCAGTGATGGACTTGTGAAAATCTTGTAATATTTCAACCCAGGTGGGGAATGGGGTCTGGCATGATTTGAGGGTGGGGGAAACGACAAAAGCACCTCTCTCACAGTCTACGCAGCCTACAACACTGGTCTCGGATGTTACCAAACACATCAAGGAAGTGAAGTGCAGATTCTCAGGCCCCAGGTTGAGTCTGGTGTGTGTGCGCGACATAGGAAAGTTAATAAATCTTAACATAGAGCTAAATGCATGTGTATATACCCAGCATATTTGGTACACTGTATGGTACACTAATGTGTAGGTATACACCTATGTATATATCTGTATTTGCATATTTGTTCACGCATGTATATACTTGTATGACAACCCTTCAGATCAAGCTATAGACAGTTCAGGTGGCTCAGGGGGTCAGAGCGTCATCCCAGTACAAGGAGAAATGGAACAGTTCCAACACCCGAAGGCCCTTCCCATTCGAGAACCCCTTTCCCCACGCCAGGCAACCATTATTCTGTCAGCAAAGATCGGTTTAGTCTGTTCTTAAACTTCGTGCAAAGGGAACCACCCCTTTGTGCCTAGGTCCTGCTCGGCAGCCTGTTCGCGAGACGACTCCCACGGGGTTTCTGTAGGGGTGGCGGAGTGTGGATGAGCCCTGCCGTCCTGTCGACGGGCGCCTGGGCGGACCCCAGTCTGGGGCTCTCCTGAGCGGTGCTGCTCAGATGTTCTCATCGGATGTTCTGCTGGACACACGCACTTCGTTCTCTCAGACACACGGGCCGCGGGACACAGGTGTGTTGAACTCTGTGGACCCGGCCACGCAGCAGGAACCTACATTTTTATAAGGAGTGTCTGGTGCAGGCGGCCTGGGGCTGCACTTTGAGAAACACCACAAAGCTAGAAATTCCACTCTGCGAGCAAACATATTCCCTTTACTTTGCCCTTTCTTGGGCTACCAGGGGGCAGAGCTCACTTACCTGAGATGCTGGGCAGGTGACGTGGGCAACAGGACAGAATGAGAGGCTAATATTCCATGGGCGCCTGTTTGGAGCAGATCGTCACGATTTACTTCCTTTGCCTCCGAGCAGCAGCTGAAAAAGGGGAAGCCTTGAAAGGGCTGAGAAGGGGAGAAGCCGGACACTGCCCCATTCCCCAAGCCCCTGCATCCCAAACCTGGGCTAGAATAATGTCCACTGAGAGTAATGTGAAATGCTCTACCTAACATGCTGGCTAAAGGAGATATGCTGGGGCCTTGGGTCACCCCGGTGGGGAGCACCCTCCCTCCCTCTCATCTTAGACAAGCTCACAGCAGAGCGGATTCCCCCTGCTCTTGAAGGTGGCTTGCAGGAGATAGATTCAGTGGAGCTCCTGCTGGGCCGAGAATGGGTGACAGTGAAGGCCGGTGGTGAGGACACTGTCCTCTTCAGTCCACAGGCCATTTCCACACAGATGCAGACGCTTCTCTGAGGTCAGGCCAGGTAACAGGTTCCCTGCTGGTGGAGGCTGGGGAGGCTGCCTGCTGTGCTGGCCACTGGGCTTCCTGGCCCCTCTGCCAGGAGCCAGGTACCCTTCCAGGTTCAAGTGCTGCCAGCAGGCTGGCTCAGCCTCCGCCCAGCCTAATCACCCAGCCTGATCGCAGGCTGCTCTCTGCTGTTCTTAGCTGAGCATGACAACCAGGGAACTCAGCAACCAGTGTCTCCAGAGGCCTTCCACGGGGAGGAGGCAGGAGTGGGAGGCCGGGCACATCAAGGATGTCTTGAGCCCTGCAAGGTGAGCTGTCATCCCCACCACCCACCCACCCCAGGCTGGGTCTCATGTGCATTATTCAGGTTCCTTCCCACAGCTTCGCCTGCCATAACAGAAACACTTGTTTAAATCCTTCCATCGTAAACCCCGTGCAACAAGACAAGGCCAGCCTGCCTCATCTCAAGGCTGAGTGCGTCCCCAAAGCTGAGTGTGGTGGTTGGTTCATAACAGAATCTATGAGTATTTAGTGGAATATGAGCGACTAAATGCTGCGTGGACTCTGAATGAACAAAGTGAAAGCAGGTAACTCCCGTATGTGCTTTTTGAGAATTAAGCTGTTAGGTATCACAGTGCTGTACCTACTGCACCAAAACCCTCCCTGGCTCTTTCAAAACGAGAAGGGACCCTCTTGTCTGAACCGGAAGTGTCTGGAGTTATTTTTGGTCGTCACAGCTGGGGCAGTGGGTGCCAATGGCACCTGTGTGTGGAGGGCAGGGACACTGCCCAACCCCCTGCGAGGTACAGACAGATGCTGCAACAGAGCACGTCTGGTCCAAATTGTTACTAGTACTGGTGTCTGCCAGAGGGGTCGGTCAGAAAACCACAGACTCCCAGAAATCTAGGGCTTAATGGAAAAACAGCTTTTTACGTCAAAGAATGCAAGGTTGTAATTGTTTATCTCCACAGAGGGAAGGAGTCCAAGCGAGAACACTGGGTGACAGTAAACCCTGCCTTGGCCCTTTTCCAGGACTGCCACATCCCGAGTCTTATTTGGCTTTCTAAGCGTCTGCCCCAACCTTGAGGGACCACCTGCTCCAGGAGGCAGGAGGCCTACCTTGGTTTTTCTCCGAATTCCCCCTGGGACACGGGGCACCATTTGTTGTTATTACCGTTAGCTGGGTAATAACTGTCCTACATTCAGTGTAACTACCACGTGCTAATTGTCTTTTACACTTATGATCATACTGTCACACTGTGTTCACCGTGGGCCAGCAGCTGACTTAGGGTTTGTCGAGCATCTCACGTAATCCCTGCAGTCCTGAGACATGTACCATCCCCACCCCCATTCACAGATGCGGAAATCGAAGCACGCTGTCACAGACACTGCCGATCGCCCACAGGCTTCCCCCTCCTCTCTACTTCTACATGGGTCAGCTTAGGAAAGGTTCCCTGTGCATATGACACATCTCAGTGCCCCGATGGAACAGGGCCCAATGCCTTCAGCTTATAGATGACACCAAGGCTCAGAGACCAGGTGAGGTGGCCCAGGTCACAGTGATTTGGTGGTCAGGTTGGGTACAGGACCTGGAGTGGCAGCCCCTCCCTGGGGCCTCTCTCCCATCGGAAGGTGCATCTAACAGTCCCCTGGGCCTGAGTGTCTCCCCCGACCGCGTGCCCTCACCCCAGGAGCCCCACCACAGAATCAGCGATCCACAGTGAGGAGAAAAGATGTTTAATCATCTCAGTCTCATCTTGGAAAACGCTCAGTGTTTTCACAAGTGCGGGGGGACGGGCTACGCTCAGCTAACATTTACCAGTGGTTCCGACACACACAAAAAAACGCCAAAGCACCGTGCGAATACTTCCTTTTAATCTGCACTGAAAAGGCGAGAACGAGGACAGGTTACAGTGACTTCACCTTAACCTTTAAATTAATCTTTGCTTTGGGGGCAGTAGGGGAAGAAAGACAGGAAGACACTGAAGGATGACAGTGCCACAGTGACCAGGACACCTCGGTCTGGCTCACAGGGCCCTAAAATCCTGGAGACAGCGCCCTCGACCCACAAGCTTGTAAACAATGACAGGCAACAGTTAAGACACATTAAAAAAAGAAAAACCTAAAAAAACTTGGAAATCCCCTCATGGTTCCATTTTTAAAATCAAGCACAAAAACCGACAGTGAAGTACAAGGTCCCATGTGCCCATCTGATTCGAGGCTTTCTGGAGGCGACCACATAGCACGGCTCACGCTTGGGATGTGACATCCAGCCACACGGAACTCAACGCCGGCCTTGCCAACCGCAGGCGTGCTGGCCTCTCCCAGGGCAGCCTCTGCCTGCAGGTGGGATCGGGACACAACCTCCCTGGACAAGGCAGGAGCCTCGGGAGCGGGTCTGTGTGCTTTTGAGGCTCTGCCTCTGGAATGTTCCCACTCGGGCTGCGCTGGGTGGGTCTGAGTTACGCTCCACACACTGTTTAAGTGCTCACTTTATTTCTCATGTGCAAACTGTCACTGTCTAAAGCTTTCAGAAGGACGTGGATAGATATGAACCCCTGCGGAGACGAGGGCCACTGGGAGTGGGGCCCCTCCCTCCGAGCGGAGGGGGCGGGGCGAGGGGGCGGTACAGAAACAGAAATGCCGTGTTCTGCTGCAGTTCGACTCTAGTCCCTGATTCGGTCCGTCCGGAGGCGGGTCCTCAGTAGCTGATTGTCCACTCTTTGACAGAGGCGTCGTGGGAGGTGGTGACCAGCGTGTGCTCGTCCAGCCAGGCCAGGCTGCTCACATGGTGGAGCCGGTGAGCGTCTGCAAAGAGAAACACACTTTTAAGGAAACTCAGCCTCTGCTCCTCAGCACACCTCAGCGGAGGAAGCAGGCCGTGTGGGCCCCGGGGACCTGGACAGGACAGCTGTTAAGGAATCCCCTCCCCCTCACGGCAGAAGGAACAGGGCTGGGGAGACAGAGGTGAAGCGGATGTTCCCTCTGCTGGCACTGGACACTCAGGCACTGCCCTACACAGGACGGTGCCACCTGGGTGTGAGTCACAGGGGATGACAGAGCCTGTGACGTAAGCTACTGCCTCATATGGAAGTAACATGTTGGGTTAAATAAAACTATTAAAAATAACTTCATGTTTCTTTTTAAACATAGCTGCTAGGAAACTTTAAAGTCCATGTTGGCTCACATGCTGTGCCTCTGGACACTGCTGTCACAGAGCACGTGCGACTGAAGGGGGTGGGTGGGGAAGGGAGGCGGCGATGGTCTGAATGTTTGTCCCCCAGAGTTTCTAAGGTGAAAACTTAATTTTGCTCAAGGTGCCAGTATGAGTAGTTTAGGTCATGAACAGGAGTAGCGCTCTTATGAAAGAGGCCCCGCAGAGCCCTGCCACCCGTGGGGATACAGCAAGTTTGCAACATGGAAGAGGCCTTACCTGGCCACGTTGGCACCAACCTGGGGCTTCTAGCCTCCAGAACCGTGAGCAACTAGTTTCTGTTACTTTTAAGCCACCCAGCGTATGGGACTGTTACAGCAGCCTGAACAGACAACAGAGATGTCATGTGGCCGCTTGACTGAGCTAGCGGCCTGTGAATGGAGAGCACCTGCTGACATACCAGGCGCTCTTGGTCCCCCTGGGAGCCCAGCACGGGCCAGAGAGCCTGAGGTTTGATAGAGAAAGAGACACGCCCTTCACTAGGTGGCCTCCTGGAAAGGACAGAAGGGACACAAGCCCTGGGGCCAACTGCCTGGGAACCGAGGAGGGTCTGAGAGTCACCTTGGATCTTGACTCTGGTCTCAGGGTCACTCAGGGTCCAGACGTACACCATCATGTCCATGCCACCGGAGGCAAAGTGCTCGTTGTCGGGGGACCAGGCCAGGCAGACGATCTTTGCGTGGTGCCCATAAAATACATTGTGTTCCTAGTTGCAAGGAATAAACAAAGGTGGCAGGTGAGGACCTGGGCCAGGGGACTGCATCTTTTCACCAACCCTCATGGTGACAGTGAGCACCTGGCAACGCCTCCCAACTGGAGGCCTCCTTGTAAGAACCCCACGAGGACCCTGCTACTCAGAGATGCAGCCCAGCATCAAGCACCAGCCACCGTCTCAAGGCCCCTGGGGAGTGCTGGACACCTTCAGAGCTCTCAGCCTGGCGAGGAGACAGATGGAAATGCCTGACCAGAGAACTGCAGAGACAGAAGGTGCCAGGAGGTCCATCCTCTCCTCCCTCCACTGGGGACGGGGCAGCCTGGGAGAGCCCCAGGCTTTGCCTGCAGCCACTTCCAGAGCACATCCCAGCCTGGAAGCTCTCACCAGGGGTTTCTCACAGGATGGGAAAGTTCCCACCTTGTCCTCAATTCTCAGAAATGGCCAACTTAACCATGGTGGTTTCTCCAGTCTGCCTATTCCGGTCTCTGTGGATTACTCAGTGTGTCTTAACAAGGGTTATAACGCAAACAAAACCACTTAAAACATAATCGGTGTGGTACCAGGCAGAAGGGTACCTCCCGGGAGGGGGGTGCACGTTCTTTTGTTCACCTGTGCCTTTTGTTACATGTAAACTTTACAGCAAAAGATAAAACTAAGACACTACTGAAATCTAGTTAACCATTTGTAAGCTGAAGTATTTATGGGAAAATGTACAGATAGCCTGGAATTTACTTTAAATGCACCAAAAACTAGATCACTAAATGGATCGGTAATGGGATAGTAAAATGTTAATGGGAAAATCTAGCTGACAAATTCTTTCAGCTCTGCTGTCAATTTCAAAGCTGATACAGTGCGGGGGGGTGGGTGCTGGCTGGTGGTAGGAAGGGCCCAGGGAATGGAGACCCTTCTCTGTCCTGTGTTGCCCACGCCCACCTCTCACCCAGCTAGGGACTGAATGCCTCCGAAGTGCAGCCCCTCGTTTGTGGAACAGAACGACACTGCCTAGGGCAGTTATGTGGTTGACACGGGAAATTGCACCCTTACATGTGCAGTGCCGTCAACTGCTTCCCATGCCCCGTTCTGCTTGGGGAAGAATGAGTTTCCAGGGGCCTTGGCAACTGTGTCCTCCCTCCTGGACTCACCCCCCAGCATCCCCACGTGCAAGGCAGTGTTGGGACAATTAGTGCTCCCCTTTAATTGGACTTTAGACAGCAATGAGGCAATAAAGAAATCGAGCCCAGGTCCTTCGATAGAAGAGAAGTAGGTCTCCACGGCCGGGAAGTGTCTTAGCAAGGATGCCCAACTGAACCAATCTGCCACCTTCACAGCCAGTCCTGCTGCCATCCAGCTCAACTTTTTGGGAATTGTGACCTGTATCTCGCCAACCAGGCCATAAGCTCCTGGGTGGTGGGATCTGTCCCACGCTGTTCACCCTCTAAAAGCAAAGTCCTATGCTCTTATGCACCCATGTGGTTGGTGACAAGAGGGAAAGGCCATGGCCCCCACCTGCCACCTGCACCGCCCAGCATGGGGACAGACAGGACAGACTGTCACTCACCGCGTAGCCATCGACAACGCTGAAGACTGTGACCACCTTGCTGGCGTCACATACTGCGAGGAAGGCGCCGTCATGGGAGTACGCCACATCCGTCACGGGGCCCTTGGCCTCCAGGAGCTTGTCCTCGGCCTTCAGTGTGGTGCCCAGGATGGAGTACAGGCGGACATTCCCATCCTGCAGGGGACGGACAAAAGGCAGTGAGCCACTCCCCGCCCCCCCACATGAATGAGGACTCGGGGAGGTGGTCAAGTGAGGGTTCCTAGGCACCCTGATTAAGATCCTGCATGTCTGGGTGCTCCAGAATGCCTATTTTACAAATACTCCAAGAAGTTCCAGTGCAGGGCTCAGGCCAGGCTGAGAAACACCTACACTCGTCAGCTCTCTGGTGCTCTGGACCCTGCCCCCAGCACCCAGCAGGCCCGGTCAGACACCTGGCTCCCTCTGTCCAACAAACTCCCCATCCTTGGGGTAGCCCAGGCACCTCTTCTCGGGGAAGGAACACCTGCTCTTTCAAAGGGCTTGTGCCTGCCACTCAGCCCACTGCCTGTCCCCAAACCCCAGGGGACCCTGGGTCAGAAATAGCCATGGCCCACTTCTGCCCAGCTCCCATCAGCCTGAGCCCCCAGAAGGGGCCTGGCAACTGCTGATGGTTCTGCCTGCACTTAGGGAGCCTGACCAGGATGGATGGACCTCAGGCCCTCCGCTTCAGGGTAGAGCCCTCGATTTCAAGTCCGGGGCCTGGCACTGAGAAATTGCACACACACTAAAATGAATTGGTGAGGGTGGCAAGAGCGAGCACATGGGATGGAGCGAGAAGGAGAGGGCAGCAACCGGGTAGGTGGTATCCCTGCAGCTGCCTGAGGCTGTCTTAGGAGCCAAGCGGGGACGAGCCTACACTCCTAAAGCAGGGACCCCAGGTCCCAAGCACCCCTTCTTGGGGCTCTGTGCCACGTGCACAGAACCAGGACAAGCCTCTCCAGGGGCTGGGCAGCCCTTGGGGACTGAGGGTCACCATGGAGGCTGTCACTTGGGTGGCAGGAGATGCCCCATGCTGGGTCCCAGGGGCCCAGTCCTACCTCCCTCCTGTTTCATCCAAGGCAGTCCCACACTCACAGCCCAGAAACCCAAGGGCAGGGGCCTTACCGTGGCCCCGACAGCCACCATGTCCCCACTGGGGTGCACGGCCACCACCTCGGGCTCGTAGCCGGGGTTGTCGATGCTGAAGCACTTCCTCTGATCCTTCAGCAGGACGATCTGGAAACATGGGCAACAGTCAGACCACAAAGGCCCCAGACACATCACTCAGTCCCGGTATGGGTTCCTTCCCGACCTTGTGGGAGGCGGGACTATGCAGGGCCAGCCTCAGCCCTGGAACCCTGAATTGTATTTCTTCCCTCATTAGTCAACGGGACAGTAACAGGTTCTAGTCACAGGGTCACAGTGACCACTGGCTGTGACTGTCACATCATCACCCTCCATTGCCATGATCTCCACTACAAGCACCAACTTCCTGGGAAGATGGTTGCTGTGTGAACTTTAGTTCCTCCAGTTACATAGTGAGCTCGATACGTGTGTTGCTGAACCAGGTCACCCAACGCCAAGAGGACAAAAGCACTTGGAAGTGACAAGGCTCACAGAGGCAGCCTGGAGGCTCCCTGAGCACCTCTCCTGCACACACCCCAGCCTTGGTTCCTCCCCCTGATGGGGACAGGGCTGAGTCCTCAGGTGGAGGTCAGTGCCTGGGTATCTGGGCCCTCAGCCACCACTGCCTGTGGGGACAGCTCACAAACTGCCTCTGAGTCTCAGCCTCCCAGGGGTAAGAGCACAGTGGGGCCCAGGCCCTGTGAAGATAGAAATCAGGGCTCAAGTAAGTTCCTAATAAAAGCAAACAAAATCAGCAGCTATGTCCACTGAGCATGAGCCAGGCACATGAAAGAGTGTTGCATGTGTTATGTCCCTGGGGGATTGCCTCCCACTGTAGAGGAGAAAACAGTGTGCAGAGAGTACCTGCCACATGCCCGAAGCCCCCCAGTGATTTCACCTGCCAAGGCCCAGTGTTCAGAAGCTGGGAAAGC